CAGCCATCTCAATACTGGAGCTGTTGAGTCACGAATTTTACTTTGCAGGTACCTAGCGTGCACTCTCTTAACCGACCACGCTCCGTGAGTGGTACGGCTTTTGCACTAGCGTGCACTGTCTTATCCAACCACCTTGGGGCCGGGTCACCAGCGTCACGATTCACGATTGGATGTTCAACATTACGAGTTCATGATTGAGAGTTCGATTTTAAAAGATGGAAATTGAGAGTGCAACTTTGCGCTGTTCTTTTAGCTGAAATTGGTTAGTTCTGTTTAAGAGAAATAAAAAAAGATATGTGCTACACCTTATTGCACATCACAAGATTTTTGGTGTTAGGTGAGCGGATGGAGTCGTAGAGGGCGTCAAATGAAGCGGGGGGGTTATATAGAGGAGGCGGCACGGACCGATACCAGCGTCACAGTGCAGAATGCTGACGAAGGGATTAGGATCCTCTAGGACCTGAGATGTAATTGAAGATCAATAGTTTCTGATTTGGAGCTCACAGTTGAGAGATAAAGCTTGGGATTCTATGCTTGACGATTGAATATTTAAGACCGAGTGTTAATCCGGGTAAGAATAATTCTGAGACACAATTGCCACTGCTTGTGCTGGGTCTCTGACAGGTAAGACTTAGGATTCTAGTCCCGACGCTGGCGTATTTTCGATACTTGTCACATAGCTCGACAACTTTGAAAAATATCCTGGACTGTGTGTGTCAGAGGGGAGGGTTCCCTCTTTCCTGCGGCCCAACTTCCCCGCCTGAGGAGCCGCCGCCGCCACCTCGCCCCGGGCGGGCGGGAGCAAGTAAGCTTTCCTTCACGACAGTTGCACACCTTGTGTTCAAGGCTCGTATCTCTGAGCTGGAGAACGAAGTTGCAAGAGCGGATCAGTTATCTTTGCAGGCGGCCCTTGAGTTCAACTGAGCACCCCTTCGGGAGTGGAGGGGGTTGGCTTCGCCACACCTTCTGAGGCCAGAGATGGGTTGTTTGTAAGTTGTCGAGCTATAGATCAAATCGGGCAGAAGGAGACTAGCCGCTGGCTGTTCTGGTAGGTGGTTTCTCTGATCAATTGCAGGCGAATGTCAGAACAGCAGTCTAACAAACAGGCGACGGACAGCGTGCGGTCTTTCCTACACACTCTTACACTTACATGCTCTTGACAACCACAAATGTCTGGAGACCAATCGGGTGCTTAGAGCTTGTCCCGGTTGCGACGGTACCACCTGGAGGGAGATACCTAAAGGATGAAATCCTCCGAAAGCCGACACAGGATATCACTATTCACTGTTGGAGGACCACCACTCTCTCTAGGAATACAATATTCAATTCCCTAATGCGACTTATTAGCGTGGCAATTGACATGGCCAGAAACATCAATTAACAGAGAGTTAACGAGTGAAAATTCAATAATGAGAGATTACAGTTGAAGAATCAATTTTGAGAGATGATTTTTGGAGTGATCGATTTTGAGTACAGCGTTATCCTGCTATTAACTTGAAAATCATCTATTTACATTCCGGTTTTACATCGTTGAGCAAAGAACCGCGAGAGATGGCTCAGGGCATCAACAGATGTCATTGCGGTGCCTCTGACCGGGAGGTTCTAGATTCGGCCCCGACGGTGACAGGAATTTCGACACTAGTTTGTCCGCCAGGTCGAATGCAGTCGCTATCTGGAGGAGAATTCTTGCGGCCGGCTGCTCTGATCGGTAGTTATCCGTGGTTTCTCCGATCAACATCAGGTGAATGACAGAACAGTACCCTAATAAACAGGTCACAGACCCGTTTTGGTAAGGTACTGCTCCGGCATGGCGCGCGATCTTTTTGGCGCGCGATCTTTCCTACCTCTTCATTTTCTTATCCTCACCCCTTATACACACTTACACTAATACGCAATACACAAGTACACATGCCGGGAGACCCGTCAGGAGCTTAGAGCTTCTCCCGGCACGGGCGGTGCTCCGCTGGTGAGAGATACCTGGTTGGGGAAAACCCCGTTCGCCGACGGTACGTCGGTACTAGATCTCGCCATACAGCGAGGGAGAGATCACCGCCAACTCCGGAACGAAAACATGCACTACACTTACGGGACTAACGACACTGGTGGTTCACGTGCCCGGAATCACTAAATCTGTCAATTGAGCGAAGTAAACGAAGATCCATCCTATCCTTATTACAAGATCACCCGCTTTGCTGTTGGGGCAGGCCGGAGTCGTGTGACGAGCCTGGACAGGAACTCGAGCCAGCAGGCCCACGAATGCTCACCATTCCAGTTCAGCATTGAGGGTTTACAATGAAGAGTTCAGAGAGCGCTGTTCATTAGCTTGAAATTAATTGATTGACACTCTCGTGAGTCAAAGCCAAACAGGACCCGTTCTATCTATCGTTACAGGTCACACACGTTCGGCTGTTGCCGGAGCGGGGCGGAGTCGGCGGGGCGGGACGAGAGTGAACCGAGGGGGGGGGGGCGACGCGGGGCGACGCGGGGCGACGGCAGCGTCGCGACGCCAAGCGGCGCCGGGGCGTCGAGGGCCCGCCGGGTGGCCCCGTGAATCCCCCTAATTGCTGCGAGGGGAAGGCGCAGAAAGACGCGATTAAGGGATGAGGAGCCGCCCTGACGAATGGCATTGTAGTTTTTCCTCCCGATCGATGTCGGCACTGGGGGGCCCCGTGCTTGTCTTGCAGCTACGTACCGAAGAAGAAAAAGGAGTGAGGGATCGTACGTAAAAATTATTCAGTGAAATTTAATTATCAATAGCAGGTTATGGTGCTGTATTATTTCTGTGTTAATTTTTCTTTGTGACATTATTTTCTTTTGTAAATAAGAAACAATTTACAAGTTTCTGGAGTGTTAATATGTTTCTGAAATGCAAATGTTTTGCATAGAGTGTATTTTTTCAAATCAACTTTTGAGTGTTTATTGAGGCTCAGCGATTCGTATTATTTAAAGAGTTTATTAGACGAAATATGCTTAGAATTGTCTTAAGAGCGTATATTCTAAGTTATGTTTTCTCGTTGGACACCCCACTGCAGACGTGGGGCGCTTTTATAGAGAGAATTCATTAATGTCATTTTATAGGCCCCAATATTTTTAACAATAAACGGCTTAGATATTTTAAAAGAAGGAAATATGACCTGAGTAGGTAATGCTATTGCCATAATACTATATAAAATGTGCTTTGTAAGCTCTATAACATAATTTACCAGTTCATTAATATTTTATCTTTTCTCAGTAGTCTAAATGTTGTTCCAGTGGTTAATTATATTTTTATTTGTTAATTGCCAACGTTTCTTGAGATTCAAAATACACCACAAGCATGATAGTGTTTTTGAATTATTGTTACTGTGTTTTGAATTGCTTTGTGAACATCGGGATTTACGGTAAATATATCGATTTGCGCTTCCATTCAGACAACAAACATGGAAACAAGGTTCCGAGCGATTTTAGCAATTAGGGAGAGTGTTTAAGAGAAATTCTAATGTTAGTTTCATGGAGAGCGAGGGAGAGAAATTAGTAATACAGCATGTGAGTAAATAATGCTCGTGTTTACCTTGTGTGGACATATTCGGTGTGCTATTTGGTGAAGCGCAAAGTTTGTGGTATAGTGTCACTCGTGAATGCTCGTCGGATGCCGTCCAACGTTCCAAGGCTGTGAAGTGGGGCACGCGTTCTAGTTCTGTTCTGCTCTTCCTGTGTTCGGCAAGGAATGTACAAACACTATTCTGGCAAGAATAATACACACATTTGACTCATCAACAACATTTTACTGCATCAATAGATTTCACATTACATAAAAACAGTTCTGACAGTCGTAACAATGTGACTTCCGACAATCGTGACAAGCACCTGATTGCAGGAACATAATACGTGTATTCCCATCAAACATTTTGATTACAATAAATATGCCTTTTATAACAAGGAGACAAGAAAGTTTTAATATTATTGAGATCATATGCTATTGTTGAAAGGTTTTAAATAATTAACGTATGACGTAGCATACATTCTTAAAACAAAAGTATGATCTAGTTGAAAAATTAAAACATTCCATTATTGTACTATTTGGATTATATACAAATTATGATGTTACTCGCGGTAGTACTTGGACTCTACTATAAAATATTTCTCGTAAAATATCACTTGCGTAATACATTGCGATACGGTTTACATCATGACATTGTGGAATAACGAAGTCATATTTGAGAATCCTTCAAGTACTCTTATTTTAGCGTTCAATTATCAAAGACGCTTACTATCTTTGATTAAGAAATTTTAAAATATAAACTAATGGATTAAAGAAAATGTGTAGTATAAATTGATAGAAAAAATAAAGAGAACTTTAATTAATACAGCATGTCTTTATTCGTGAAATGAACTTAATTATTTAAATATATCGTATTAACACCTGCGCAATTTTGAATATTGCGACGGTAAACTTTGAGTAACAAATGACATTTCTCATTTCATCAATACTTCCTGTCTCAAACAACCGTATATTACTATCGATACATACAGTTCTCTACATTGATAAACGTAAATTGATCAATAGCGCTCTATTTTCGTTTCATTTAAAACTGACTTGCAAAACCAGGAGCTACAACAATACTCTAGTGTGGGTTGAAATAAGAAGGTTTGGAAAAGGAAGTAAAAGTTCGGAAAGAGAATTTAAAGAGACGAGCGTTCGTTATTTCTTAATATAGAAAATAATATCACGTTACGTATTCATTGCACTGCCCAGGACCTCATTCCCTGGCTCCCTGGGCATTCAAACTCTGCTGAACGCTGTGCATCTACCTCAGGTCGATCGGAGTTCGACCGGAAATGCGAGTTTTCGTCGCAAATCCTCGATTTGACACGAACCCACGGCCTTCGGTCTACGGAGCCCGTGCTTCGACGCACTGGCCCCGAGCCTGTCGTCGGCGCCCACGTGCTTCGCTCGAGCCCAGCGTTGTCCCCAAGGCCGGGCCAGCCGTCGCGGTTCCACCCGCGGCCACGCGGCGCGCTCATAGCGAGTACTGCGGCTTGAACTTGTACGCGTTCTTCCAGATCTCGAACAAGCAGATGGTGGAGTGGAAGCGGTAGAAGATGGCGAGGGGCATGGAAACGCGCGTGATAATGGTCCAGGCCCACTCGCCGAAGAAGACGAGGTGCGACGGCCGGAAGGAGGCGTGGCCCTTCTCCAGGGTGTTGATGCTCCACATGGACATGTTGGCCACCAGCAGGAACGTGACGATCTGCCGGCCGGGCTTGCGGCGCGCCTGCGAGGCGGAGCGACAGCGGCGCGTCCACGCGTCCAGCACGAACAACTGCGCACGCACGCAAACAGATGAGTATGCGACTGTGGGAGTTTAGACTTCCGCGGCCGGAGTCAGTAGCTGCTTGGCACTCGGGGAGATGCAGCGTTCTAGGCTGTCCGAGGCCGCGGCGTGTCCCGGTCGGCCAAGCAGCTACTGAGTTGATTACTGCCTCTCAAAGCAACACTCTCTGAACACTTTTTCCATTATGTTATTTTATCAACAAATTCTCCGAATCTGACTCACAAGTTATATGCTATTCTGTTGCTAAACGGGTACATTTCACGAAGATTTGAATGTTTTCACGACTATTTGTGAAATAATAAATTTCTTAAGTGTTCAACCTAAATTCTCACAAAACTACCTTGCTCTAACAAGACATATCATTAGAGATTTTTAATTTGGAGTAACTATTATGGATTAATGATTTAGCCACCTAGATATAAATATAAATAATACCACTGAATTAACCGACCATCATTATGAAATTCCATCAATGTCAGCTGGTGTTTTCAAAAGTTTCATATAACTTACACATCAAAGAATTAATTTATTTTTACGATTCATTAACGTAGAATTGAGAAATCTCAATACTCTTTCTTAGTACTATTATAAAATCAACTGTTAGAATATTTTAATGACATAAATGTAGTGATTCATAATTGATATGTGCCAACCGAACTTGCAGACCTACTCAGGCCTAATCCATGTTTAATATAGTCATGTTTTTGTGGCTTCGAAATTGTTGATATCCTTCAGTACTTCACCTCTAATAATAAATTAAAATTGATTCCACTTACTGTTTGAACCGTCGTCTGCACCAAAGAAAAGAGTTCAGCCACTAGTCCTAGATCGGACTCGTCAGAGAAGTAACAGCCAATAATGGAGAACATGCAATAGATGTAGACGCCAGTTTGTGCAATAAGCAACAGGCTGTTGTCCAGACTCAATCCATTACCTCCATGGCCGTGACCTAGAAGACGAGAAACTCATGTAAAATATGTTATGCTAGACTTACTTCAAGATATTTTATGTTTGAAAAATTCACTATTAAATACGGTTTTGTAATGTTTCAATATGAAAGCAACTGATTATCACAAAATGAGAACTACCTGTATTTGAAAAACTGCTAAAAACCTAGTCAGTTAATTGCAAGAATTGTAATGAGATATTTCTTGACACTTATGCCTTAGATTCTTGTACATATCGCAAAGACGTTCAGATTGTCGTTTAAAATTGATAGATTATACAAGTGTAAAGGTCCAATTTTGTTTTTTGACAATCATCTTTTTATTGATTTCCGAAATACTTATACAAATTTGAAATAAAATTAAAATTACGTTAAAATGTCATTTTAATAACGTTTTAATGTTGATAATAATTAATAACTGACAATAACATTTTCATTTCATTTTGAAAAACTTTTCAAATTCAAAAAACAACAACATTGAAATGTGTTAAAACGTCATTTAACATAAGCTTGAAATGCGTTAAAACGTCATTTTTAAACGTCATTTAAAACGAATTTAGTGGGAGCGCGTGTGCGTTAAAACGTCATTTAAACGTTATTTTAAAATTTGACAAGTTGTAAAGTCGTTTCGAGAACTAATAAAATGTGATCGTCAAGAAACAAGACAATCGCTTAAATAACTGACTGAGCGCAACGTACTGGGCTTCCGCTTGTACTTGAGGGCGCGCATGCGCAACATGCACAGCAGCACGGCGACGGTGCACAGCACGTAGAGGACGAGCTCGATGACGTTGACCTCGAGCACGGCGGTCTTGTGGTGCTTGGGGTCCTTGTTCAGCACGAAGAAGAGGATGAGCGAGATGATGGTCAGCACCATCACCACGATGCCCACGAACAGCCCCTTGTGCGCGCCCGCGCAGTCCACCGAGAAGTGGTAGTGGGAGCGCATGTGCTGGTGGTACTGGTGGTGCTGGTGGTAGATGGCGTTGAAGTGCTGGTGGTGAGGATCTGTGATGGGAATGTTACGGGTGAAATAAAATGATAGCTATGAACATACCTAGAAATGTTTTAGTATTATTACTGCCGATGCCAAAAGTTAAAAATCGAGGCGGAGCGAAGCCAAGATTTTTAATTTGGACGAGGCAGTAATAACACTGTAACATTTCGTGGCATGTTCAGCGTTTTATCGGTCACCAAAAAATCTAAATTTTTTTGAGACAATTTACGACAATTACGAATAGTGTTTTAAGGCAAGACACAAAACGACACATATTCCACACTATCGTGGAAAGTATTATATTATATGGAGCAGAAATGTGGCCGTTAACAAAACGCCGTAGAGACAGAATACGGTCGGTAGAGCTCGACTTTATGAGAAGATCTTTGCAGATAACAAGACTGGATAAAATAAGAAACGAAGTGGTGTGGGAAAGAGCTGGGGTTCAAATAACCATAACCAAAAGACTAGAAAATAAAGCTCTTTAATGGTATGGACATGTCCAGAGGATGCGAAATGAGAGATGGCCAAAAGAAATTTTAAATTGGATACCTGAAAGAAGACGTAGAAGAGGTAGACCTGGTTTAACCTGGAAGACGTATGTACATGAAGTAATGGAGGAGAAAGGATTGGAAGAGGCTCAATGGGAGGACCGAAAATTATGGAAATCGAAAACGGCAAACTCTAAGGGGTAGAAACCGTCGAAGAAGAAGATTTACGACATTACTGCGATATGAAACACATGAATTCTGTTGTTCCGGCACAATAATCGATATTGTTGGATATTGCTTGCGATATATTTATTTCAATAATACACTTGTATACCGTGGCTCGAGAAAGATGGACGCTGAAAATTCGTCTGTGCCTCGAGAATTTAACAAATATGTATTTTTCAAACTGCATAATTAATAACATTATAATTAATAATGAACATCCCCGAAAATAATGCTGTTCTTTGATTACTATTTTTCTTGTAAATTACCATGTGATTTTTTCGTAATAATGTTGACTTGCGATGAATGGGTGGTTGTTTTTTTAGGGTACTAAGGATGTTAAAACCCGTTGCTAAGGATTTTAAATTTCTTAATCTACTGGTAGGTACAAGCGCACTTAACAAACTTATAGAGTTGCATGTTAACAAGCATGCATTCCCACTACACTCTTCAGTTTGTAGATTTTGGGGTATAAATACTCGTGTATACAGCGATAGAAATTTTCAATTCGAAAAATATTCTTACTGCTTATACACTTATGTACATATCGACAGTATACGAGTATAATTCCCTCCCCCCCCAGTGGCTAGCAAGTTAGCTTTCAATGCTGAGACGCCGGGATCGATTCCCGGATTGGGTAAGAATTAAAACTACCGCACTTTTCTGACCTGCCCCAGTTCATGTAGCTGCTTGACAATGTGAAAGCTGCTCACAGGAACAGAACTCTAAATAGATGGTGTGAAAGGAAGCGACCGCAGGTCTCTCAAGCCCATGGCCGTCAGTCTGGGACGCCATGTCATCACTATAGTCTACTGAGGCTGTGGAGCCATAGTACATGCATACATATATTTCCTTTTCAAATAATACTAGGATTTTTTTTTCTTAGTACGACTTAAATCCTTAACTTCTGAAAAGGGATACCTGCATGGCACTTGTAGAGTCTGCATGATACCTATCAGCACAGTACTTCTGTTTTCTAGATCAGCGGATTTGACGCAATTTGTTAAGTTTTTGTTCTTGTTTGTAGCACATTGTTGAAATGTCCCAAAAGGCTAAGTAGTTCATTTATCGCTTCCATTTAGGCCTCTATGTGTCAAGTTTCGAGTTACGCATCATCAGTAAGGGAATTCTAAATTGTACGTGAATGCTGCAGGCATACGTGTCAGATAAGGGACATTGAATTGTATAAAAAATGCAGATAATTTTTTTCAGCTCCATTAACTTCCAATCTTGAACACAAAGGTAAATTCGCATTTTATCTAAAAGGATTCAGTCAAACGTGCAGATAAGTAATTCTATCTCTTATAGATGGAGTTTTGAAATTAGTTTGTTTCATATACCCTACTGCCAAATACTACCAGGTTATGAAAAATGTTGATTTCTTGAAACAATATGCTAGAAAATACTTTTGGAAATAGAAAACCTTCACTTTCTCGTCAATCAATCATGTTGATAATCTCTAGTCATTTATTAGTTGTTTGTAATAGAGGAATTAGTAGGGCATGTCAGCGATTTTAATTGATGGATTTTTGAGTAGAACACGAAATTAACACATTGTTTTTATCAACAAAATTCTTTCAAAATAGAACAGTAATTTGACAATCAATTAAACGGGTTTGCAGATTTTTTGTTTGTTTTCGTAGCAGTGAGCAATATATTCTTATATTTATGTTATGTGGCAGATTTACTCGTTTTACTGATGCTGTTTTACCCATAATGATGAATAAAATCGTCTGTAAGTACAACACATCCGAAAAACCTGTGCAAGATGTACGAGAAGATCAAGAAACTGTCTTAAACATATGTGCGTTTAAACCTGCGCCAGTTGGAGTTTTCTTAAAACGACAAAGGTGATTCCTGATAATCTTTATAGCCCTAGTGAAGGGAGAGAAGGGCTAAATTCAAATGATTGAAGCTCAATTGAATCGTTTATTTCAGAAACCTGTCAAACGCCAAAATCTAAAACACCCATTGGTGATGGATTATTTTTGCAAGAGGATAGACACATCGTTTAGTGCATATTTATTGAAAAATATTCACTTCTCAACTGCTTTAATAAGTAAAAACATATCGAAATCTGAAAAAATGGGACACTTTTTCTCAGTTTTCTCGAAATGAGAAATTGGGCGTTTGATGGGTTTCTGAAATAAACGATTCAATTATTCTTATGATATTTGTATAGAGCGTCAAACATTTACATTTATAGACAGATTCCCTACTCTTTTCAGTATCCGTTATAATTTTGTTTCTTTTGCTGGTGGGCATTTTTGCTCCTCATACTACTCATTGTCCTCGACATTAAACGTTTTTTAATGTTTAGCAATGTTTTTAAACTACCATTTTATGATCTTAGTGAACTTATAGGTACCAAAACGTACAAATAAATACAATTTTTTTGAAGATTCCAGTTGTTTTACTTATAACATTGTGATATTTTTCAATGGGTCGATAGGCAAAAATTGTCACTCTTGGAACGTCACGTGACCAAACAAAGGTTGGTGCTAGTAGTGTTAAAGTTCGAGATACAGTACAGACACACGGGTATTGTGTATGTGGGCGCATTAGAAGTAGGGTTAAAATGAAATGCGAAATACCGTACTTGGTGTTAAAGTGAATTGCGCAATGTCGTAAAAAATACTTGCGCAATATCGCAAGTAAAGCTTGCCGCTATCGTCCGCCAGTAGCCGGGTGCGCCGCACGTACCGACGGGGCAGATGCTGGTCTCGTTGTTGGGCGCGTCCTCCTTGGAGTCGTTGGAGTCGTTCTCGACGTCCTCGTCGCCGGTGGAGGAGGAGGACGGGCGCGTGGCCGGCGCGGAGGGCGCGGGCGTGGAGGCGGCCGTGTCGTCGCGCCCGGAATGGCCACGCCCACTCGCCGGCGGAGACTTGTTCACGTTCTTCCACATCTCGTACAGCACCACGGCGCAGATCAGACTGAACACAAATATTTGGACGTGAGACTCTTTTCCGGTGCGGGAAGGTCGGGACCTCTCTCTGGATAGGCGTTAGAACACCAATCCCAAAAATTTTAATCTACTTATGATAAATGTTTGGCAAATTAATACGATTTGTTATATACGTTTAAAATTATGTAGAGCCTTCTTGGCTGCATCTCAGTAGGACAGAGTGAACCATTGAAAGCTTAAACCTGCTACAAATCGTATTTGAATAAAATGATATGAGTGGTACTTCTCAATACTGTACGGCAATATGTTAATATCAGATGTTTCACTTTATGAAAAATAAATATTGTCATAAAAAGAACAGTGATCAACACTAAACAACTATTCTTTGCACTTTGGTCACTAATTTTGATGCAATATTTTGATTATTAATACAAATGTTAGTAGGTCTAATTTTTAGCCACCGGAATATATAATTTAAAACATTTTATAGTTATTAGACATTATAATATTGTATTTTAAAGCTGAGCAATCCCGGAAGTTCAATATCCTCAGAATAAATACACTTCTTCTTTTGGTTGGGGGAGGGAGGGGGTAAAATATGAAAACTTTTTACTGATGATCATGTGTTAGGAAATTTCATATAAATAAGTTACACAAGTGTCATTCGCCCTCGACTGGTAGAGAACTAGTTATGTATTGGTGTTTGGCAGGTACACGAAATCTTGGGATAAGAACGTGACTTGTCAAACAATAGTGCACTGTTAGCTGCCTACTAAATAAGTGTCATAAATGTAACTTCGTTATAAGATTTCCCACCACATGTTTATTGAATTGAATTGATTTGCCTTATTTTACGTGGTCATCTTGGTACTGGTACAAAATGTGGTCATCTTCTACTCATTATATGCCCTAGAAGTTTGTAACATTTATACTAAGACATTCTATGTTAATTGAAGGTGAACATTTTAGAGGACGTGACGGTGGGTGAGAGCGTAGGTTTCCTGTGCCGGAGCCAGTAGGTACAGGTACTTATTTGAAAAAAAATCCCGCGCGGTGAGTTAGGGGCGTATCTGGAGGGGGAAGTTCTCAAGTTTTTTTCTCCTTCCAGTGAGTTGCCATCATGCTGTGAACTAGAGAGCAGCGGACCTTCGCAGTCGAGAGCTTCTTTTCTAACAGCACATTATATACTCACCGCGCGGGAATTTTTTCAAATAAGTAAGTTTCTCTGGCGCACCCTGTACTTGGCTCCGCGTGCCAGTACCAGTAGGTACTGGGAGACTTCGCGTGCTAGGCACAGGTTCCAATGTGCCTAGGCCGCCCGTGCCTAGGACGCGGCGTCTCACGGACGTAACTAGTGGCGGTGGGTGTTCGCACCTGTACTCGACGGTGCACGGGAAGAGGAAGGGGTCTCACGGCCGTCCGAGTAACTAGTGGCGGTGGGTGTTCGCACCTGTACTCGACGGTGCACGGGAAGAGGAAGGGGACTCACGGCCGGTCGAGTAACTAGCGGCGGTGGGTGTGCGCACCTGTACTCGACGGTGCACGGGAAGAGGAAGGGGTTCTCACGGCGGCCGAGTAACTAGGCGGCGGTGGGTGTTTCGCACCTGTACTTCGACGGTGGCACGGGAAGAGGAAGGGGTCTCACGCCGGCTGAAGTAACTAGCGGCGGTGGGTGTGCGCACCTGTACTCGCCGGTGCACGGGGAAGAGGAAGGGGTCTCAACGGCGGTCGAGTAACTAGCGGCGGTGGGTGTGCGCACCTGGTACTCGACGTGGCAACGGGAAGAAGGAAAGGGTCTGCACGGCCGGCCGAGTAACTATGCGGCGGTGGGTGTTCGCACCTGTACTCGACGGTGCACGGGAAGAGGAAGGGGTCTCAGGACGGCGAGTAACTCAGGCGGGGTGGGTGTGGCACCTTACTCGACGGTGCACGGGAAAGAGGAAGGGTCTTCACGGCCGGCCGAGTAACTAGCGGCGGTGGGTGTTCGCACCTGTACTCGACGGTGCAACAGGAAGAGGATGGGGTCTCACGGCCGGCCGAGTAATAGCGGGCGGTGGGTGTTCGCACGCTGTACTCGCGGTGCAAGGGAAGAGGAAGGGTCGACGGCCGGCCGAGTAAACTAGCGGCGGTGGTGTGCGCACCTGTACTTCGAACGGTGCACGGAAGACGGAAGGGGTCTGAACGGCCGCCGAGTAACTAAGCGGCGGTGGGTGTGCGCACCTGTACTCGAACGGTGCACGGGAAGAAGGAAGGGGTCTGACGGCGCCGAGTAACTAGCGGCGGTGGGTGTGCGCACTCTGTAATCGACGGTGGCCGGGAAGAGAAGGGGGTCTGACGGCCGGCGAGTAACTAAGCGGCGGTGGGTGTTCGCACCTGTACTCGACGCGTGCACGGAAAGGAAGGGGTCTGACGCCGGCGGCGAGTACCTGCGCGGCGTGTGCGCACCTGTAAACTCGACGTTGCACCGGAAGAGGAAGGGGTCTCCGCGCCGGCCAGTAAACTAGCGGCGGTTTGGTGTTCGCACCTGTACTCGACGGTGCACGGGAAGAGGAACGGGCTGGCGTCCTGCACCAGCAGCCCGATGATGTTGGAGCGCCGGCAGTCCTCGAGAGCCACCTCGTGGTGCGTGTCGTTGGCGTCATCTCCGTGCTCCGCAGCTGCAACCACCAACCACAGTTCATTCGCTTGATGCAAGGGAAAGAGTGTGGGGTTGGGGATCTCTCGCACAGATCGTGCATTGCTCGCCACGTGTCACAACGAGGGTAGATCTTTCGGGAGGACTGACAGGCTATTCGCATACGAACTAATTGTAACATTAAAATGATATTTATTTTGTGGCTTTATTTTAACATAGTTTCTTTTGGTTATTAATCGTATAGAACTCTGATGTTTTTGGGTTGTTTCCCTTCTGAAGCCACAGCTATTCAGTAGTGTGCATAACATTGATGCTCGTGTTCACGAATTTCTCTATCTCTCTAAAAAATGAAAACGGATATATTGTTTGAAAATGGGTTTCGTTTTAATACACATGGCCTGGAGCCTTCTGAGAACACGTGGTTTGTTTCACAATGGTACCCAGGACAATTAGTGTTAATGTTTTTGAAAATCTTTCATTCGCTGAGTCGTTGTCTATGGAAACTACTATGATCGTATCATAAGGAAATTTTAGTCATCTGGCGTTTTTGTTCTGTATGGACAAGGCAAAAATTTGCTCACCATTTGGAAGATTTCTAATCTTTTTCTTCGTTCTTAACTTTGTTATAGTCATATCTTTCTGATTCTATTTGGTTAGGCTTCCAATACAAGTAATTAAGTTCACTAGTTAATAGAATTTAGGTGTCAAAATCATAGCTAAATAATTCCACGTCATTAGTCTCACTACATGATATTTGCTGGGTTGCAAAGCAGTTTTAATAATAAGCATGGTTGTTTCAATTAAAATTGTTTTAAATTTATCTGAATATGTTTTCTTCGGAATTCAAGGCACTTTCAGTTTAATGATCGGCGTAGCAAAACTTGGTTTTTGAAGAAAGAATTTCGAAGAGAAAGGAAACTTTTAAAGGCAAACTACAACATAGAAATGTGTTTGTTAAATTTCGTCCCGTGTTAACCTTTTGACAATTTTGTCGGGTGTCGCTGTTTCTTGGAGATACATACTATCTTTTCTTGTTACTATATATATGTGAAATTGTATAAATCTTTTCATAATTCTCCTGCATTCCCTGAATAAAATTGCTTTCTATTTGAGATGAACTGAATTGAAAATATTAAGTAATGTAATATAAGTTGAATTATTTATTTGCTTTATTTTCTTAAAAAACTCTAAACTTTAAGTTCTAAAAGCCATTTTGTTCCACGTGAGTCTGTACGAGACTGCATTCTCTCCCTACTTTTCGCGTCAAGTTCCGACAGCACTGTGAGCATTGTGAAGGTTCACGAAAGCTTGCTCGATTTGACTGCGGTTTATACACACACACACACTACCCTGTCCCGAGCGAACAGTGAATGGCTAAATATAACGTGCATTTCGCCGTGAAAGAACGGACGTTGGCTGCACTCAATGGCGTTTTATGTTACTTGCGCCAGCGAGCACCGCCTCGTTACTGAGGGTACGTGCGGTGAATGCGAGGCAGGACTGCGACTGCAAGTAAGTAATTTCCACCCCGCACGTCGTCGCAGAGGAGGAGAGAGGCCACCGCAGCACCGGTCCCCTCCGACGGCGGAAAACGAGGTCACGGCCGAGCAAGCGGAAAGAGAGCCGCCCTTTCGGCGGAAGGAAACGCGGGAAAAATTCCGGTCTGCCTTACGACGGGATAGTCTGCTAGAACTTGCACGTCAGACATTGTGGAATGTATAAAAAGATTTGTCTCGTCGCGAGTCACTCTTTAATATTTTCTTGATAAAGCCCTTTAATGCAGGCTCCTCCTAGAAGGAATTGCAGTGCATTATACCTCCTTTCGAGAATTTTTTAAATAAATATTTACAGACGATCGGTTTTAGACATACAAGTGTAGCTGAAGAAGCAGGAGCTCGAAGAAGCTAATTACAAAGCTCGTACTGTAGATACAAAATAAATATATTAGAGGTTACCCCAAATACAGTTATTATTATTATTATTATTATTATTCAATTGCTCTACCGGCATAGGTGGCTTACGACACCAATTGATGTCACTGAAGGGCTTCTGACCGGGAAATCCTAGGGTTTTAGTCCCGACAGTGATAGGCCTTTCGACACTAGTTACATAGCTATGTCAAATGCAGCCGCTGTGTACAGGAGAATTATGTCGACCGGCTGCTCTGATCGATAGTTTTCCGTGGTTTCTCCGATCAACTCCAGGTGAATGCTGGAGCAGTACCTGCACAAATGATCTACGGGCGATCTATACTTCCTCTTAGCTTAGATTTTGTCCCGAATGAGACGGTCCCACACTGATGGGAGATACCTGTTTGAGGAATCTCTCGCGAGACAACGTATAGGTCGGTGCCGGATCTAGCCATCTAGCGGGAAAAGATCACCGCCCCCTCCTATCATAAAAACATGCATTGCACGCACGGAACTAACGACTTTAGCAGTTGATGCGTCCGGAAACACTAATTAGTGAATCAAACGCTCTACACGTGTTCATAATACCTCAATTTGGGTACACCCAGAAGCAGGGAGTATATACACAAGCCAACAAATATCTAAAAGTACCCAACATTTGTTTACCTCCGTCTTCCAAAAAAGCAAATTTGAGTGTTATAGTTATGTGGCGTCGTTGTTGAATTGTGATGCAATTTCTCCAACTGGTCGCTTGGCGCACACCCAGCGCTGGTGCAGAAAGCAGACCCTACGTGCACGTTCTACGTACCGTGGCTGTTGAGGTGCATGATCTCGTGGCGCGTCTCCGCCACCAGCACGTACAGCCACTCGCACAGGTTGCACGCGATGGTGTGCATTAGGCCGAAGCGCGCCACCACCTTGTGGCGCCACATTTTCATGTCCTGCGCAAACGGAAGCCGCCGTCAGAGCTCGCGCACGCTACGGTCTTACTACAACAAAGTGTTTTGCCTTGCTTAAAGTATTATTTTCCAATTAATTTTTAAATTTATTGACGGCCGCTTTACAACTTCTCTGTTCATGAGCGACCGCTGTCATTTACGTTGATTTAAATGTAGATTTATTTAGTCAAAAAACTGTATCTGGTGTAGGGGGGAGAAAGTTATCTGCGCACGTTTTCTCGAGTTACAGAATCCCTTCCCGTCATTTTAACTATAAATAGTTGAAAGATGAGTAAAATTTTAACATAAATAAATAAAAAAAATTAAATCGCAAGATTAGAAATATTTGAAAATTGGCCATTTTCGTTTCCGAGTTCTAGAAAACTGGTACTCGAATTGCAAGTATGATTTTTCTGCATTGCTAACAAAATAGCAAGTCACCCTTACCTCTACTCTTACCATTACAAGCAACAGGAGAGTTCAACAAAACGTGCGCGTAGTGAAGCTACATTTACGTCCAGAAGCAAAACAAGGGGCCATCTCAGCATTTGCTCAATGGATCAGGGAAACTGGACAGAAACCTGATCTAGGTTGGGGTCATTAACCCGGAAGCTGAAGTACATTATTTGCTACAAACATATTAAGTCTTTTAAAAAATATATACAATACAAATGTAAACTAATTCATTATGTATCACTGTTATGTTAAAACAAACATTATTTTTCTTTTTGATAATCAGTTTAGTTTTTAATTGTATAGAAACATCATTGTTTACATTACAGAGATTCACAAACTTTTTCTTTCATCGACTCCTTTTAAACGAATTGTTTGCTTCATCGACCTCATTGTTTTCTGTATGACATACAGCATCCGTAATCATGACACAAAGAATTTCACGTAAATACCTTGAAGACAACAAATTAGCAATTTTGTACAGCAATACTCTCGCAATTATCTCCATTTTGTGATAATGGAAGATGCTTCCGATTTTGAGTAGCTGATTTTCGAAACTTCATTGAAAAGTAATGATTATAAAATGTAATGTGCTTTTTTAAGATCTGACCATTACATTTCTCAAGAGCCAATTGCGGAGACTACTTTCTTGAGCGATAGAGTATCACTGTCAATAGTTATAATTTCTCCAGATTTTTAAGCATCTTAATTACTAAGGATGACTAAGAAACACTAAAGAGAGGACCGAATATGTAATTTTATATCAAATATTTTGCTGCTGTATATCAGGAAACAGTTAATTATGTTCAGTAATATTTTTTGTAACATATGGCATTTTGATTATCCTGATCAAGCGCCGGTGCATGTTCGACTATTTTCGTCGAACCCCAGGGGGTCTATACTGGTTCCGTTGTGAACCTCTGGTTTATTTTAATGTAGTTTTTAATTACACTACAAATTAGTTCAAACACTGAACAGAAAAAGAGAAACGCTTAACAACTGCGATTTTTTCCAAAGATACAAAAATTACATAAAAAATATATTATACAGAAGTGAAATGGCCTGTTCAACTTATATCAATCAAACCTAGTTGATAATCTTAGAATTTTATCACGTTCTTCTCTTTTCCTGAATAAATCAAGAAGCCTACAATTACTTTCAAGAATCGATCTCTTTCTCTCTCTCTCCCTCACTCTCTCTTGCTCTCCCCCTCTCTCTCGCTCTCTCTTTAGCTCTTTTTTCTTGTGTTCTCTTTCGCGTGTTCTTTCTCGCATGCTCTCTCTCGCTCGGGTTTTGACAGGTGGTTGTTTCTGGTGCTTCACTCTTGAGACACGATTCTGGATCGGTCTTTTTCATTTTGATTTCGAAATTAGCGATGAATTTGGAAAATAATTACAGGTTAATCAATACATGTGTAATTAAATATGCTTGTTGTATATTATTTATTTATCTGCAGCAATAGATAAAATTTCTCCGTGCTACTAGAATAAAATCGCTTTTGATAAATGTATAAACTCTTCGACTCTCGAGAAATAAAATATAGTATTTCTTGAATAATAAACTTTGTGCTTAACGAAGGAATTATCTCACCTTTATGAATTCTGTTTTCAAATTAATGTAATCACGTACATTTAAATGTAGTTTATCTTTATGGAATCTAGAGAATTTAGAGTTTGGTGATATGTAATTAGAGTGAAGTTTTACAGAAAATAGTAATAATGTTTACTGCAATGGGATAATTATTTCTCTTAATCAGTAAATAATATATAAATAATAAAATAGAACAAAATAATGTATAAAAATTTGAGATATGACAGAAAGACGATTTTGTGAACCATTTTCGATTGCTAGTATATTTATATAATATAGTATTCTGTTGTATTTATATAATGTATTGTGTCAAGTGTTTTCAATATATTATATTTATAAAATAATATTATAAAAGTACTCAGTATTAATAATACGGTCCATTAAAAACAGAAAAACATAGGAAAGTAGGAATCTTGAGAGAACATTCATTAATTCACTTTTGCAGATGAAAGAAAGAGTGTCAATTCTAAGTAACTCGATTAATTAAGAGCCACTAATGGGAATTTTTTCTTGGTAAGAGATAATAAACAGAAGCAGCTGGAAAATGGTAGACTCGAAACACGAGTAAATCACAATTCATTCAAATTCAAAAGTCAGTTTCCTACAAATGATTTCCTAACATTCTCCTCTTGTTTGAATCGAGCTTTCACTTTGAATTCTGATTCTTTCCAAAAACTTTAGATCTAATTTTTTGTAAAATACTGCCATGAAGAGATCTTTTTTACATTCGGGAAATGTGTTTTAACTGTTGTTTCGTGAAACTCTTAAAATATTCTATCAGTTTCAAATACTACTCACCTTACTATTGAGGAAGATGAACTGCATTTGCAGAAGTGTTAGTACAATACGTGTGGCAGGATTGAGGGCTTGTAGAGCGTTGTGGCAAGCTGTGTTTTGTTTGAACTCAAAGTATTCTCCAAATTCAAGACCTGAGTATACCATACTTCCAATGCCAAATGCTGTAAAAAGAATAAACTATTATAAGAATACTAGTTCTCGTAGAGAGAAAAATGTAGTAAAATATGTTACTTTCATTTTTACGCCATTTCCTCCTAATTTATTTTATTCCGAACCTTTGAAATTGATATTGGTCATTTAGTATGTAAAATTGATTCAGTAACCATTAAAATTCATGTTAAGTAAACATGTAGTTTGGAAATAAATAAATATTTTTAACACTACATTCGATTTTTGATTGACAAATATATTTCATGCTTTGTGTGTAGTCCCTATACAAAGAAGCAGGAGGAGCAGTAGAACACTCAATGCAGTTAATACATTTGCTAAATACTTACTACGAAATATTCCCATGAATTTTATTTTTTCAGAGCTTCTTTTAATTTAGAAGTAGTCAAAACAGTTTTCACATTCAATACAGTTTTGCATTCATTACAGCTAGTACTTGGTGGTGCTACCTATTTGTAACGCATAGAACAGCTTGGCTCCATCTTCAATTGTAACGCTATGTTGGCAGCTAGAGAAACGACTTCTTTTAAATGTTTACATCATAAACATTTATGTCAATTTTTGGCGAAGTTAATTCTAACAATTTTTAAGATAAAAAATTAAAGGTCTTTTAGTGTTGTTAATAAATTTCGTGGGAGGGGGCTTGGCCTCCCTTGCCTCCACTGACACTCCGCCACTGACGTTTGTTGGGGGAATATTGATTGCTGTGTCTCTTACCGATGGCTCCCAGCCGCAGGTAGAAGCTTCCGTAGCGCGTCACGGGCGTCATAGGTGGCATCCTCCTCAGCGGGGGCGGCGCTTCGAAGTCCTTCTCCGTAGTAGATCCTGCGCATCGCAAACACTCAACATCGAGGTTGGCAGCAATATTAAGATTTACAGGTGAATTCTTGGCTATCCGGGATGAGCCGCGTCTCGGTCAATTGTACTAACGTATCGGCCATCTTGCTGTGGCCTTCTGCAGAGCTATACTGCTGCTGGCCGAAACGTTAGAACAATTGATCGAGACGCGGCTCATCCCGGATAGCCAAGAATACATTGACTCCGGCCGCGGAAGCCTACGAACCGAAGATTTACAGGTGTCTTAGAAAAAATGTTACAATCTTCTCGGGCATTTAGAGTCGAATAATAGGGGTTCAGTGAATATGTGTTGGAAAATATCGTGTTCAAATTTTACAGCAGTGCGAGAAACAATGCAGAATAGAAGGAATAACGTTCGAATATACATTATTTACATTATATTTTGCCGATGACCAGGTAGTATTTGCAGAAGATGCGGGCGATTTGAGTTTGATGAACTGTAAACTCAATGAACACGTTTCAAAAGCAGGACATAGTATTAACATGGACAAATCTGAATACCTGGCTGTTATGAACAATGTCATTGAATATATTCTGTAAAATGGAGAAACATGAAAGGTGTAAACAAATATAAATACTTGGGTGCACCTCTAACAAAAAGGGAGGTAGTCAAGAATAAATTGAGAGACGAATAAACTTGGGGATAAGCGTGACACGAAATATAAACTCTGTCTTATGGAACAAAACCATCATTAACGCTATTAAAAGACGTCTTTACTCCTCACTAGTTAAAAGAGTGTTACAACGAACAGTTTAGAAGTTTGGGAGGATGATAAAAGAAGGAATACTAGCTTACAAGTTGTTGTTATATCAGACGTGACAGAATCAGGAGCGACGACAAGAAATAAAATGGCTGTAGAGAAATCTATTCTTGGTGAAATAGAGAAAAAAATTGTTTGGTACGATCATGTTATGCGAATGACAGATGAAAGATAGCCAAAACGAGTCCTGTAATGGATGCCGACAGAAAGGCAGAAGAGAGAAAGACCCAGACTTGCATGGCAGCAGGGAGTGCAAGCGACTATGGCGGCAAGAGAAAGGCAAGATGATCTATGGTCAAATAGAGAGGCGTAAAGACTGAGAGCGGAGGAACGGCAACAGCTATCGAGCAACTCCGTATTATATAT